CCATACAAGCATGGGGACCTGAACTCAGATCCCAGCTCCTAGGCATGGAGGCATGTGCCTGGAATGCCAGTGCTGGGGAGGTGGAGACATGCCACTTCCTGGGGCTTGCTGGCTTTCTAGTCTAGACAAATCAGTGAGCCCCAGGAGCAGAGACAGATCCCGTCAAAACTGAGGAAAATATCTGATGTTAACCTGGGGCCTCCATCTGTCCATGCACAAGAACCTGAGCGCTCACGCGCACATACACACACACACACACACACACACACACACACACACACACACACACAAAACGTGAGATCTGCCTGCCCCTGCTCCAGAGTACCGGGATTAAAGGCCTGTGCCACCATGGTATTTCCTTAGACAAATCAAGAAGTCCATGATATTTCCTAAGATAAATCAAGGGTTGTATTATGCATATTCTACATTTTGATATATTTTGTAAATTTGTCAAATGAAAACACTATACTGATTTTTGTTCCTATGGGTTAGGATTGCTAATCTTCCCTTCCATATGTTCTTGCCATTACTATTCCTCATGCTGTCAGTGCTCTGCCAACTAGCATTGCATTGCATTGAATGCTCACACCCACTGTAACTAAGGCTGAACATCATGCACTTATTGGCCTCTTGTATTTTTTCCAGTAATCCCCTATTTATAAAGTTTGCCCATTTTTCTTGGTTTTTTTTGATATGTAGGAATCCTTCATTACACAACAGTCTGTGTAGCAAGGGTGCCCGACACACTTCTCTCCCCCAACCACTAGCCTGTCTTCATAGTACAGCAGCTCCTGATGTGTGGGCCACTAGCCTGTCTTTACAGTGTAGCAGTTCCTCTCTAGGTAACATTCCTAATACGTGCAGTCTCCAGGTCATGTTCCTAATGTGTGCTGTCTCCAGATTACATGAAAGGTTTTCTTAAGCCAAAAGACTACACATTTGACTCTATAAAACATATATAATACATATTTGTGCATACAATATACATCTAGTTACACTTTACATACTCTCTATACATCTACATACACCAGATACCTTCTCTGCATGTATGTATGTGTGTGTGTTTGAAAATGGAGTTTTTATTTCTTCACCTCCAAAAACCTACCTTATCTGGTTTCTTATTTTGACAGTTACTTTACACATTCCATTCTACCTATATGTCACATAAGAATAAATTACCACAATGTGTTAATGAGACAGAATACATATCTCTCTCTCTCACACACACACACACACACACACGTGCACATACACACACACGTGCACACGCACCACCAGATTATCCCAAATCTTACAATGGAAAATGTTAAAGGCTTAAAAATGGTTATGAGGCAGAGGCAGATGGATCTGAGTTTGAGGCCACTCTGTTCTGCAGAACTGAGTTCCAGGACAGCCAGGACTATACAGAGAAACCTTGTCTCAAAACAACAAAATAAAAGATTATGAGATATTAAAAAGAGGAGTTGGAGAGCGTGTTCCTACAGAATATCCGACTTCGTCCCCCAGCACCCACATCAGACAACTCACTACCACTTGTAACTCCAGCTTCAGGGGATGCAACACCTTTCCTGACCTCTACAGGCACTGTGCTCACGTGCACAACCCCTACACACACATATACACAGATGCAAAAATCTTTTAAAATGTATCAGAGAGGATGGGTTAGTTATAAATGAAATTGGAAAAACAGTACAGTGTTATTTTTAAAAGTCAGCTTAAATCTACTGTCCACATCAAACAGCTGAGTAAATGCTAGAAGGAACTAAATCCTGTAAGAGAGAAGACTCAGAAAAAGTAGGACAGATTCATTTTTATTTAATTACTATTTTTTAGGGGCTTTAGGGATAAAACCCAGGGTCTTATATATGGCTAAGCAAGCATTTACCAAATTCATTTTTCTCCCCTTTGTTATTCAAGACAGGGTTTCCCTGTGTAGTCCTAGCTGTCCTGGAACTCACTCTGTAGATCAGTCTGTCCTCAAACTCACAGAGATCTGCCTGACTCTTCCTCCCTGAGTGCTGAGATTAAAGATGTGCAATGCCATATCACCCAGCCTCCCAAATTCAATTTTTAAGATTTATTTTATTTGAATTATGCGTATGTGTGTGTGGGGGTATGTACACTTGGCTACTGGTAGCTACAGAGGTCAGAAGGAAGTGTCGGGTACCACGGAATTGCTGTTACAGGCAGTCATGAGCTACCTGGAATGTGTGCTGGGAGCTGAATCAGAACCCTCAGCAGGGGCAAGAAGTGCTTTTAACCTCTAGGCATCTTTCCAGATCTATTAAAACCTTTAGAAGGTTAACAATGAGCTGGGGAAAGTAATTGGCAAAAACACAACAGACATCATGTGTGACTGAATACGTGACAGAAACAGCCTAAGGAAGTAAGGTCTCTCTTTGCACTCATGGCTTTGCAAGTTTCAGTCCACCAATGGGTTGGGGGTTGGGGGGTGCTCCTCTCATGAAGGAACCAGAGCAAGGGTGACAGGAAGGAGCCTGAGTGAGGCACACTCAGGGCTGTAGTCCTCCAACCAAGCTCACTTCCCGCCTTCCTACCAGAGCCAAAGTCTCCTCAGTTCTGAAGCTCTCAAAGGAAGAAAGAATCGGTTAAGACTGAACCCTCATCTAATCATCTGTGGGAATGCCCTCACAGAAAGCCTGGAGTACGCTTTATGAATTTCCTAGGCATCCTTGGTCAGATCAAGTTGACATCCAAGATTAACCATCACATATATTCCCCTAAAACCTCATGAAAATCAGCAGTAACAAGATGGGTGCCAGACCTCAAAACACAGTCAAAACAAGCTTGTGACCATGAAGATGCCCCGTCTGACACCATTATCCCCGTGGTGGCAAACAGATGAAGTTACAACCGAATGCTCGCACACAGTGTGTAGGAAGTAACCCAGAAGCACACACCAGGCACCATCAAAAAGCTCATGCCAGGTCTGGAGCAGTTCGGGGGTACAGCAGGCTTTGTGTTCAGGTCCTGTGACATACATAAAGCGCTCGCACCCTTTGACCCAGTGAACCCACACTGGTTAATGCACAGGCATAATCCATAAACATGGGAAACATTCTTTGACCCAAGAAAGTTACTGAAGTGTTATTTATAATGCAAGAAACGGAAGGAATGAAGAAAAGAAGGGAGGGGAGAGGGAGGGGAAAAGGCAGGGTGGAAGGAAGGAGGAGGGAGGGGAGAGAGAGAGGAGAAGCAAAGTAACCTAATTTCCAATTTTTTATTTTTTCAATCAATTGATTGGTTGATTGATTATTGAGACAGAGTCTCACTATGTAGTCCTGGCTGGCCTAGAACTCAAAGAGATCTATTTGCCTCTGCTTTCCAAGTGCTAGGATCAAAGGCACGTGCCACCACGCCTGGTTTTTTTCTTTATTATTTTTTTTTACTTAATTTTTAGAAACAGAATAATTAATTTACTGGACGATCATACAACAGGATGTTATGCATTACTTGAAATAACTGTAAGAGCACACAACACCAAAATACTCTTATGCTTGCTTCCAACTAGAAATATTGAGATATTCACTGTTTCTGCTAACTTCCAATTGCTAACTGTTATATCGAAGCATAGCTCTGGACCAGGAAGTCAAGACAAGACTTCCCGTTTTGACTTCACCATCCCCTACCTGTCTGCTGACTGCCTGGCCTTGCTGGGCTCCTCACACGGGAAATAAAGGCCAGAGAGCTACCTAGCTAGCTACCTCAGGGCTACTATGAACAATGAATGGATGCAACAGCACTTGCAAAGCACATGACAGCTTTGCCTGTTCCAGGGTAAGAACTCCAAAATAATACCTTTGTCATTTAACACTTGAAAAAATAAAACTGAAATGAGTATTTTTTTAAAAGGATAGCTTACATACAGGAGTTCATTTCCAATTCCAGAGTTTAAATGAAAGCCCAGTGTGGCTCATTTTGCGTTCTTCTCTGCCTTTAGGAGTTTCTGTCTAGATGGCACTTGACAGTAACTAGCTTGGCAAAGGGAAGGTCCTAGAAGATGGAACCCAGCTACTCTCAAAAAGACCCCTGTGACATAGGGAGTGTAGAGGATGGAACTGTACGGGGACAAGAGGAGCCACCTGGATGAGAACTCCAGCAGAGACTTCAGAGTTCCACCTTCACCTTCGCATTCTGAAAGGGAGGATGCATTTTGCAACTTACAATATGAACTCCCCCCAATTACTGAGCTAAATCATTCCAATAAAAAGTTAAGAGCCGACCAGAAAAGAAAATCAAAACCCAAGCTGCATTTCCAGAAAACAGAGTAGAAACTAATAATAGAAATTCAGGCTCCTTTGGAAGATATATCAAAGTGCTGACAGGCTTCTGCAGGGTCCGGGAAGAGGGTCACAGAAGAAACCACAGAACACATAGCTTCCTAAAAAAGCCACGACTATTGTCCGGCCATTACTTTGAAATTCTGCAATCTGGATTTCAGACCCCAGAACATCATGACCCAGATGTAGAGCACTGGCATAGAATCTACCCCTCCACCAGATGCAAGGTCACACTCCACATGCTGATGTCCTCCAAGAAAACATGACCCTTGATCCCTCTGTGGACCAAGAACCTTAGCTAGAGGTTTCTCTCCACTCCTATCCAAAATAACACACCAAGCAGCCCTAGTCTCCCTACTTAAGAGAAGAGCACTTTGCAACTCTAGTGACTAGCGCCCTAGGAGAAGGCTTCTCGGCAGAATTGTACACAGTAACCTCAACATGAATCATCCTGACTTTGCATGATGGAAAAAAAAATGACTCACAAAAAGTCTGTTCTTCCCAAGATAGTATATGAATTTCAAATGCATTTTCAGCCCCCAGAGCAGACGTGAAGTGTTTTGCTTCTGTGATCCACACACAACAGAAAGCAATGCTGCTGTGTGAGTGGCATCAGGTCCATGGGCGCAATCCCCAGCCAGAGTCATCGCCTAAGATTCCATCCCAGCCTTAAATAACAAACAACAGCTTTGTACTTACTGCCAAGCCCTCAGCCTCTCTTGGGTCCTGGGAGCTGCTGGCCTCAGTCAGTGAGCCCTCTGCACTATGCTGAGCCAGTCGCTGCCTGGGAGGAAAACCACACTCAGCGAGCATTTGGGCAAGGCCCACTCAGGAAGCAGGCGGCCTCTCCTCCCAACGCCTCTCCCTCTCCCCCACCCCCAACGCACACACACTTACAAGTTCACATATATACGAGATGCAAAATTAAATTTCTCTCTGACGGGGTCCCAGGTACTTTAGACGTCTACAAAAGTAAAAATGTAAGGATGTCAGCTGGCTAGGAATAAAAGGGAACTTCTTCAACCCACAAGGGGCACAAATACAAACACCCTGAGATATCTAACCAAAAGAAAAAGCCAGTCTGGCCTCAAGCTTCAGGGCCCCCACAAATGCTGCTGGCTGTAGAGTTCTAGGTTGAGAGGAAGTTGGGAACCAGGAAGCTCTTCAAAGCAGAGCTGCTTTTGGGAACCGACTGAAAGATTTCCGAGGCCTCTTAAGCCCTGGGCCTTCAATAATGTGTTATGGTTTCTTTTTCACCCTAAATAAATAGGTTCATACTTAATTTTTACCTCAGAAAGCTCCCAAATGATACACCCACCCTCATAAAACCTGGCTTCATTGCCCCCTGCCACTACACAGACACAGTAAAGCCCTGTGACCACTAGCCACTGCAACAGGGACAATGACACTGCATAGGGAACATGTAGGAAAATCTGTGATGCTAAACACCAAGGAAACAGCTTGGGAAAAATGAGACAGAATCCACTATAAATAAAATGTGAAAGTCAATGACAAGATGGGACAAGCATACACATATAGCCTTTGGTTCAGTTGTCTGCTGGTGCATTCAGGCTATGAAATAATCACAAATAAACAGTTATCTCCTCACTGGGACGTGTCCTCCATAGGCTCCTGTGTTTGAGCACATGGTGATGTATGGCAATACTTTGGGATGGTGTGAACACTTTCGGGCATGGAACCAGACTGGAGGCACTGGAGGTGGGTCCCTGAAAGTTAGACTGGATTCTAGTTCCAGCTGGAGCTTTCTCTAAACCTTGGTCCTTACCACTTGTAGAAGTGGCTATGAGCTCCTACTGCACTCACCTTTCTGAACTGAGACCCTCTCAAATATGAGCTAAACCAAGGCCTTCCTCCTTGAAGTCACTCTGTCAGTCATTTTATCATGGATGTGACAAAAAAAAGTACAAAGCTGTGTGAACAATGAAAAGGAGCAAGCTGAGCAGAGGAAATTACAAAATATATAACAATTTGAGAAGAAATGGAGTACCAGAAATGGAGTTAAGTGGAATGGAGCTAAATCCTGTGTTTAAGGAGATAAACAGATTAAGAAATATAATAAAGGGAGTGGTGACCTCAGGGCAAGATCCCACCCAGCTAAATTTCCAAAGTGTGAAAAGGAACTGAAGAAAATCTTAGAGCCAGGTATGGTGGCGCACACCTTTAATCTCAGCACTGGGGAGGCAGAGGCTGGTGGATCTCTGAGTTTGAGACAGTCTGGTCTACAGAGCGAGATCCAGAACAGCCACGTTTAGGTAGTGAAGAAAACTATTGAGAACAGAAAGCTGGTGAAGATGTAATTGAACGAGTAGGCTATGTTCCAGTCCTAGCAAGTAGCAGAACTTGGCAGCTTCAGCTACATGGTTCTGGCTTCAAGGGTAGAAGAAAGGCTTTCCCTCCTCCATGACAGAGGAAAGCTGCTGAGGCCATATGTCAGGGGCGTCTCTGAATGGAGGCCTAGAGAGGTCATTGAGTGAAACTGTGAAGGTGAAGCCTTGATTGCCTTAGAGACCCCAAGATGTTGGAGATGCAGAGAGTGGGATGCCTGCTGAGGAGAGCTGCTAACAGGGAAAGATGTTACGTTGTAGTCAGCAAAACTGAAAGGAGTTACAGATCTGGAGGGCGCTTTGACATCAAACATGGAGATGCAGAATCTGGAGTTTGCCCAGCTGGTTTTCAGTCTTGCTGGGTTCAGTATTTCCTGGCTACACTCCCTTCTATATATTTTGGAATGGTAATGTATATTCTGTGCCATTATATGTTGGAAGAATGTGATCTGCATGAAAATTATTTGATTTGGGTGGTTTACATTTTCCTTTATAAGAGTTGTCATGATCATAGTGTCTCTTCACAGTAACAGAAACCCTAACTAAAGCACCAAGCATCCAAGGCCCCAAGTCCAATCCTTAGTACCTAAAAATGAATCCAAACAGAAAAAGGCTCTTTAATAGAACAAGAGCAAATTAAATCCAGCAAATATACAAATGATGTTATGCCATGACCAAAACAGATTTACACCAGCAATTTTAGAGTGATATCACAAATGAGAATCAGACAACACAATTCACATTAAAAGAATAAAAGAGAAAACCCACACAACCATTTCAACAAATGTAGAAAAAACAATTGACAAAACCCAATAGACTTTTATGATTTTAAAAAATTTAACCACTAGGAATAAAAGGGAATTTCCTCAACACAACAAAGGGCAACTACAAAATGCCCACAACCAACATTGTATATAATGTGAAAGTCTGAAATCTTTCTTGGAGGCCAGAAACAAGACCAAATTCCTCTGCTCTGTTGACTTCTACTCAACACTGTATATGAGACTTTATTCAGGGAATTTAGGCAAGAGAAGGAAAGAGAGGGCACCAAGATGATCAGAAATGTAAAACCATCTCTATTAACATAATAGGACCTCACAAGATATAGACAGGGCTATCTACAATTTAGAAGGGGATATCTACAGCTTGAAGGCTAATGAAGGACCCAGCAAACTCACAAAAAAAAAAAACAACAAGATCAAGGCAGAAAATCAGTTGTGTTTCTATATGCTTGCAGGAGTTAACTCCTAACATACCCAGAAAACAATCCCATGTTCAGCAACAGTAAAGTGCTTGCCTCACAAGAATGAGGACCAGGGTGTCATCCCCACAGCCAGTGTACACATACCAGGCATGCTGGCTTGTGCTTGTAACTCCAGCTCTAGAGAGGCAGAGACTGGAGGAACGCTGGGGCTTGCTGGCCAGCCAGTCCAGCCTACCTGGTGAACTCTGGACTAAGGAGAGCCCCTGTCTCAGAGAGGCGAACCTGGAGATAAAACCCAAAGTTCTCCTCTGGTTTCCACATCCATGTGTACACACCATACATAAGTACACAAACTCACACATGAACATTTACATATAAACACATATACATGCATTGAAAGACGCTGAAGTGTTGACAAATAAATAAGCAGAAGACATGTTCACTGCCACTACAAAGCATCAATGAAAAATCTGAAAGGTGGGCCAGCAAGATGGCTCAGCATTCATGGTTTTAAGGTTTGCCTGACCACGTGAGTTCAATTCCCAGAACCCATCTGGTAGGAGAGCACCAGTTCCCACAGGTTATCCTCTAGGGTGCATGTGCCTGCACACATATACATACTCACATAAAATTAATAAGTGTTTTTAAAACTAAACTTGAAAAAGTAAGGTAAATGGACAGACACTGTGTTATGAGACAGGAGGATCTATGTGAGGTCCTGGCTAGCCTAGTCCACATAGCAAATTCCTGGATAGCTAGGGCTACATAAAGAGACCCTGTTTCTTTTCTTTTTTCAATCCAGCTATGGGCTCTCTGTTGGAGATCGCTAGGTAGGTCTAAATCTGGGTCCTCCTTCTGAGATGGATTCCTGACCGCCTCCCCTGGATGGGATAGCTCACACAGCAATGCAGCTACACACAGAGCTGGGGAAGCACATTAAAGGTTGAAGACATTTGCTTTGGAAATGTACCTGAAGACAGGTGTCTCAGTTATGCTCTGAATGATGAACTTTTCAAATAAAATTCATTTTACTTTTCTATGTGCATGGGTGTTTTTGCTGGCAAGTGTGTCTGGGCATCATGTATGTAGTACCCACAGAGACAAAAAGGGGGCGACAGATCCTCCAGTCCTGTAGATACAGACATGGTAATTGCCATGTACAGCACAGAAAAGGAACTGTTCCACTAGCAGCAGAGTGTAACTAAAGCCTGTCTGTGTGGGCCGTACACAATTCCTGCACAGGCCCACACTGCATCACAGGACACTAGCCTGCTCTAGCTAAAAAGAAAGAAAGGAAGATTTAAAGTATGAATTACTTGACAAGTGAATTATATCTTAATTTAAAAGACTATGGAAATAGTTTATGATACAGAACAATGACTATATACTTTTTGGAAAACACAGATCATAAATGGCAAGAGCCATATTTGTACTTATTAAAATTGACTTTTACTGACTAATAAGATGACAGAAAATTTCAAGTTTCTTTATGCTTTTTAAATTTTTCTACACTACAGTAAATATTTGACAATTTGGGGGCGTTAGTATAAAATAACATTCATTTACATAATTTGTATCTACATAACATAACTGCTTTCTCCCTTTCTTTCTTCCTTCCTTCCTTCCTTCCTTCCTTCCTTCCTTCCTTCCTTCCTTTCCCTTTGGTTTTTTTGAGACAGGGTTTCTCTATTTAACCCTGGCTGTCCTGGAACTCACTCTGTAGACCAGGCTGGCCTCAAACTCCGCCTGCCTCTGCCTCCTGCATGCTGGGATTAAAGGCGTGGGCCACCAGTGCCTCACAACTGCTTCCTCTAGAACAGAAAATCTACAGATGACAGATATTGCCTCTTTTGTCAAAAACTTCTTCAAGCAAGGCATTGTGCGTGGTCATCTGATTTAAAATAACACAGTAGTAAATAATGGATATTGATATTTTTATCTGTCTCTTGGTCAACAATTAGACTTTTAAACTACGATGCAGATGTAAGAGTTCAGGAGGACCGACAATTTTGTAAGTGAACACTATACTCGAAGCATGCTGTTGCTCATGCACTCAGCAGCGTCAGATGCTATTCATACAACCCCACGGCTTACACTGCAGAAAGCTCAGCCAGACTGAGAAAGGCTTTCTTAATTGTAGCAGCAGTTGATTTCTTCTGCAAGCCCTGCAATCATTTTTCTGGATTCCGAACAACGGAGTAAGAAGGCTGATTAGCATGCTACTCAGAGACATCCATGAATACGGAGGCTGGAGAGCACCCAGGAGGCCAAGCCCAGGCACACCCAGCGGCTGAAGGCACCGCCACCTGGGCTATGCTTATGTCTCAATGAGAAACCTACCAGCTCTCCAAAGAACAAAAATTCCCAAGATCCTTGCCCAGACCAAGCCTTAAGAAATGCTCTGTTTTGCTACTG